TAATTTGCAGTGCAGTCGCCATTTCTGATCGCATATGCTTGGTTATGCTTTGTTAATGGCATCCTCAGTAGCAGTTTTATTTTCCTACTGTTTCATCTAAAAGCGTTATGGTGTGATCTGTTTGTTTGCCTGTGTAAATGCTGTGACTGCTGTTCTACTGAAAACAGACTTTTCAGAATTAAGGAGTTCAACATCTTATGCAACTACCGGAGGAGTTGCGGATTTTATAAATCACCCTCAAACTTTTTTTTAAGAGAACGGCATTTAAGTGTTGGGCACCTACTTACAATATTTATATTTTGTATTGCGTGGCAAAATGTCTGATTCGTGTTTCACGTGTATTCTGAATCTGAAAATTCTGTGTTAGACAAATATTGGAGCCAGCTAACATTTGTCACTTTGGACTTTTAGGTGTTTTGGTTTTTCATAAAAGCGGATGTGATATTTAACTCAATTTTTACCCAGTCTTCTGCGCCTTACTCGGCATCCTTAGAGGTGGTCGTTTTGTTCATGTAATGTAAAATTAGTTATACACTTTTAGGTGTTTTTCATAAAGTAAGCTCAATCTGAGCTGTTTGCTTTCAGATTAAACTCGAACGAATCCTCGGTTTGACGGTAGCATCCAATGCATCGCTAGCCTGCAGTTCGAAAAGTCACCTTATCGCTTATCCTGCCGGGTCAGTGTTTCATTATATATCATGTGTGCTGTATCCTGTGTACTGTTGATTTGCAGTTACTTTAGTCCTAATTTATTTTAATTTATTATTTAATGAACTGTTTTAATTTGCACGATGCAATAATATTATTTTAACTGTTATGCTGGCAGTTAGTGTTTCAAAAGGTTGTATACAGGTTGCCAGACGTATCCGACATACCATCATGTCGATCCCAGTTTCACGACACCATAAACCTGATAAAAAAAGGTACAGACAGACCCCGACTTAATTAACAGTTAATCTGCAAACTTTCGCGTAGTACAAATCCCAGGTAATTCAGATTTACACCCAACCTATTATTCGCACCTGCATTGCTTACTGGCTCAGAGAACCTATATATAGTAATACGTTGACATGTTTTAAACGATGATTATGTTGATTTCAAGTTCGCATGATGCAGTAAAAATTATTGTAGTGTATGAATACAAACACAGCACGTCATTGTTCAATAGTAAACAAAGCGAGACTGAAGAACACGTAATGCATTAGTCAGAATTTACGTAAGCCTAATTCAAGTCAGAATCTGCCATGTTCCAATGCTGTCAAGTGGAAGTTTAAGTACATCACCGACTACACTATGTAGCATTAAGGTTTAGACACACAGCCAGATTCGAATGTAATTCGCTCTGTGTCTGGCACAGTAGCCATTCTGCCAATGGTCGAGCAGTACCGATGGTCCCGAAATGGTTCATTAAATGCAACGTATTCAAATTATGTACGCGTTGTGTAAAGTTATTGTTGTTTTATCTCCATCAATCCGTGCTACATGTCGTAGAGTGGAGGGAGGATGGCGAACAAGAGGAGCTATTCCCGAACTTACTGGCAAACCTAGGAGCACGCCAGACCTCAAAAAACGGTAACCTATAACTCCACGCGGCCGGGCGAAGAGAGTCAGTGGACGTCCGGTCAAAGCCATATGGTCAGCTTATGTAGAATCCGGAACTTCTTGTCCAATCTGTCGAAGCGATCTCGGGTAACAGCGGACAAGGACTTACCGATGGATGTCTGATTCATACGCTTTCTTCAAATTATAGTTTGTCGATGTTTGAATAGTAGCGCTTTTGTGACTGCTGCTGTCGGACTTTTGGGCTCATGAGAAACGGTGTCTGGCAACGGGTATATCACAGTGAAGAGACCAGTGCACAATTTGTTTTCTTGCGTGATAAATTCAATAGAAACCACAGTTGAAAAAGCATCATAACACGCGCCAAGGTAATCTACTAGGCTTGCAGACACTGCCCTCTCAAATATAAGGCGCATTCGGTTAATGGTTCCGAAATATATAACAGGACCGTATTTCGAGCGTCATCGCAGATGCATTACATTTGTGACGTCCATTCATCGATGTGCAATCACTGACACGCTGATATCTCGATAATAGTAGTTTGCTTTCCTTGCTTTCCTTTTCATACCGTCATTTAGTACTCTCCGATTTTTGTGACCCCGATGTACTGATTGCGGATCGTGGCTATAAGCCGTGATCAGTAGCAGCACATCCAAGCTGCAATGTCTCTGTGAGTACAGAAAGAAACCAGGATTGGTTAGTCGGTAGAGCGTCAGGTTCACAACCGCGAAGTCCGTGGTTTAAGCCCTGATCGGGTCGGTCGTCTTTCATTCTTCTGAGGTTGATAAATGAGTATAAGAAGGAGACAAGAGGCTATACTTTATGCTTATTATATTACTGCTATTGACTTTGCCTTTAAAATATGGCACGCCTGGCTGATTGCCTTACAATGGAGATCACCGCCTCACCATTGACTTCATGAAAACATTGGCTCCAGAAGGTGTAAGACAGACAAGTTATAAAGTTTCTTGATTGTTTACTAGGCATAACATGGTGAATTAAGCAATTATACTATGCGATAGATGAGAGCTAGCTTCTCTCTTGCACAGTCTTCGTTAACCTGCACCTTGGCGCAGTTATACCTTTTACACCGCATCACTGTGCCGTGTAAACAGTTGTGTCTTTACAAAGCTTCTAGCCTGACATTTTATAGTTTAAAGTAACGTGTCGTTACTATTTTTAAGCTGTTAAAGAAATAAAATTTTCTTCAGCTTTCAACATAAATTTACGCTAATTAGATTCCATATCACGTTTTAACGTATTGCATGTTTGTTTTTATGTATTTTATTTATTGCATTGGTTGCATATTTTAAATTTAATTTTGACCATCTTTTGCGTGATTGGTTTTTTAGTCTTTTCATAATTTCGGATTGATCACGTTTGACATCTGCAAGCTAACCATAATTGCAAACGCATTTGATTTGATATTGAAGTAATCACAGAGGTTAGAATTCTTCGCTGTCGCCCGAACACCTAACGTTCCACCAAGGATCTATGATTTGCGACGATTGCTCGAAAGGTTGATCATTATTGCAGCATAAACCTTAATAAAGCGTTGGACTCACAATCCAACGCATTGGATGCGTTCGAACGCTGTTATGATAAACTGGCTTTTCGTCTTTCCAAGTTAGATAAGTGAGCTCTCGTTCATGGGGAGAAAGGGACAGACACGGCTGCATACCGTAGCGGCCACCAAATTGTAGATGTATTAATATGTCTCATTATATGACAATCGTCGTTATACCCTAAGCTCAGTGGAAAGTGCCTTAAATCTTGAAAATGTAGCAAAATCGAACATCCATCCGTACGACATATTCATACTTTCAGTAACTTTACTTAGATTTAATACTGCCAATATTGGTTAAAGTGGAAAAGCGCCGTTGGTGTGTGTTATTTCGATTACTAAATTACTAATTCTGCTGTTTTACACCATAGCTAATTGAGGCATTCCTTAATTTTTAGTTCTTTTTTCGTTTCAGATGCACGATCGTGTTCCAAGGTTCGAAGAATCTGCAACGGCACATCGTCAGTCCGGCCAAGAAGAACGTCACGTGTCTGTCATTTTCTAATGATGGCCGTTACCTAGCGGTTGGCGAGGTTTGTGCAAAAGTCATACTTTTTCTATGCGTTATTACTGAAATTTTTTTTCTGCAGTGCGGTCACGAGCCGGTGATACGCGTTTGGGACGTCGAGGAACACGCGTTACTAGCAGAACTTATGGGTCATAAATTCGCCATTTGCTGTGTGGTACGGTTTGTACATATTATAGTCTGACGTATTCAACATTTTCTTGGGTTGCAGGTGTCCGAGAGTTGCATTATGTAGCCCTTGTACTCGTGCACTCTCTCATAGAGTACTACCTTCCCCTTCCCCCATTCCGTTATGAGCGACGACAACTGCCACAGGAGTATTACTCGCTGAGTGAAGTAGTGCGAGTTGTAACAGTAACTCTGAAACCAGCCCAAACGCAATAGGCCCTAATTCACTGTATACCTTGTATTTCTGGAATAATGCTTATTGATTTCAATATTGGTCGCTTTATGCCCTAATGGTATTCGCACTCACTTGCCCTGCCAACGGTGACTACGAATTTGGGTACATGTTTGTCGTATTTGCCTACTGCTGCACTTTTCAGGCATAATGTTTCTACTGGCCAACTTGTCGTGTACAGCAATTTGCTCACAAATTCGTTTATCATGTGGGTAATGTTAGCGTTTCGTATTATGCTACAGAAAATTTTGTTATATTTGTTATTTGTACACAGCGATGCGAAAGTTTTACTTGTAATATTTACACACAACAAATTCCTCTTTTGATAGGATCAGGTTTCAGTAGGAGCCAAGGCCTTTATGAATCAAGTGCTAAATGTCCCTTCCTTCACAAACTTATAAAAGTTAAGGAATCGGGAAGTTTCATTGCTTGGCTGAAAATACTAGCCAAAACCTGACTCCATCAAAACAGTAGTTTGTTGTGGGTAAATATTTCAGATAGAAGTTTTGCATCGCTGTTGATGTCTCCCACCCTAGCAAGTTTTTTGGATTGGTACGTAAGTTAGTGCGTATTGCGATGATGTATTTCTTCGCTGCTCCTCGCTTGATATCATATGAATATCGTTTAGGCGTTTTCGCCAAACATGAAATACTTGGTGAGTATTGGCAGTCAGCATGACATGGTTGCGAACGTGTGGGACTGGAGGAACAACGTGAAAGTGTCATCGAATAAGGTCTCTTGCAAGGTGAGAGATGGCTCGTTATTTTAGATATCATGTTTCGTTAATCAAATTAATTAAGCAAAATTACTGTCTAATGGCTATTTGAAGTTACGCAGTCTTAGCCTAACTGACTCTTTGAAGTTGTATATGCGGCATAATGTCGAGAGTAGAATTTTTTGAGATTCTTGTCAGATTTTTCTTCCAAGAGTAAGAGAAATGACTCTGACTCCCAGTGGAAACTTTGGGCATCGAAAGAGTTAGTCTCGTTTTGCTACGCAGAAAATTATTAATTTTGAGGCTGAGGTTCACCTAAAAGCCATTCATTGTTTTGACCTGTTATATAATTTATCAGACAGAAGTGAAGACTAGAGTGTCGCCACGTAAACGAAACAATTAGTTACTGTACACGGTACGATACAACAACAGGCGTTCATCGAACGTTGGCATTCGATCCAAAAATTGTACGTCTGACCCTGAGACAAAAAATTTACTAGTGCAGATATTTCGACCAATTTGGTAGTATATTTTTGTTTGCTGTAAGAATACCGATGAACTGTATTGCCGTTGTGCTCTTACTGTGAATATTTTAGGTAACTGCCCTGAGCTTTTCCGAAAATGGCGACTATTTCGTCACTGTTGGGGTTCGACACGTGAAGTTTTGGTACTTGGACAAGCAAACTTCGGCAAACCGGGTAAATATAATATTTAGGCTGACACTTAACCCCAGATTTGTTCAAGGATTTTGTCTGGCCTGTGCAAACGATGAGTTAAGCTTCAGAGATCTTTCACCTGGTTGGAATATCATCCCCAGTAATTTAACTTAATTTCTACCATAAGATTATTTTTCGTTTTTTTCGTTTTATTTTTCGTTTATTTCCCAGTTTTTCATCTTTCAATTTCTGTTACCTTGCATATGTCATATTTCTTCGTTACAATGCTGTAATTATTTACCTGCTAATCTTTCTCATCTGTGACTGCTATATATTCTATGTCAATTATCAGTTTCTGCTGAGGAAAAACACTGTTGTGGATTCGGAAGGCCTTCATATAATATATTTTTCAGGCTTATAACCGTCTCCTTTATTCATTGTTTTATATTCAGGCGTAAATTTGGACGAGTCTTTCACCTGGGAGTACGACAGAAACACAGTAATAATTTTTGATCGTTCTCCCCTTACACTTCCATGATTAACGCTGTGTCCCCGTTCTTTTTTCATAGAGCTTATGAAACGTCGGTCATCTTGTTTTTATGCGATTTATTTTAAGGACATGCTCTTCAGCAGTTCTGTCACTCTTGGGTGTAACCACCTGTATCTTTTCCTACGAAGCTGTATTTATTCATCTATCTCGGAAGAATGAAACGCGAATAACTTTAATGATAAGATAAAACATGTCACGTCCAAACTTATAGATTTCAGAGATAGAGGATACGACTGAACCAGCATTTTGAATGATTCATACTATTGCAAGTGTTATCGAATTCCTGTACAGTTCCGTGCTTACAAACGGTAGGATACATTTGGATCTGGCTTGGTGGTTCATGAAATACCATGAAATAACTTTTCATTCATTTTGAAAATTTTCAGTTTAGTTCAGTCAGTGATTGATATGTTTGCTGCATGCAGACCGACGTTGGTACACTGCATGCTTCCAGTTTACTTTGAACGATTTGTTTGAAAACCTTGAGTCCTGAATAAGCAGATTAGGAAAAGATTACGTTAAAACGTAATTGTAGAGGGAGAAATGCATCGTATGGTACGAATGCTTGAATTACAGCCTGCGGGACCTTTAAATCTCATAATATATGAAATAGTTTTCACGTATATGTTCAAGCTTGTGTTGGCTCTTACAGTATTCTTAAAACCTTGAATTTCTTTTTGTTCATCCAAACCTACCTGACTAGTTCTTTTGTTAGTTCCAGGATACGGTTCCGCTTCAGGGTCGATCCGCGATATTGGCTGACCAAAGAAACAACTTATTCTGTGATGTTTGTTGTGGTCGTGGACCGACCTCCTCAAGCACTTACTGTATTACACAGTCAGGATTGCTGTGCGAGTTCAACAATCGTCGTCTTTTAGACAAATGGGTTGAACTAAAGGTAGGGAAGTTGTGAATCATTCTTTCATATGATATTTTGGCTATAAGGTCACTGATAATCTTTCTGTTGAAGACGCGTTTCGCTGGTTCGCTGTGTCTTGGTGATGACGTCATTTACGTTGGCTGTGCCGACGGCGTGATTCGCGTGTTCAAGGCGGCTGACTTTCAGTACATCACCAACCTGCCGCGGCCTCATTACTTGGGCGTCGATGTAGCAGGGGGTCTCAGTGCAAAGCACATGCTTTCGGCACCGGACTTCGTCCGGTATCCCGACGTCATTGCGATGTGTTATGACGCGTCACAGAAGAAGGTAGCACATTGGCTTAAATATTTTTTTCTTACCCACTTTACCTTTTTGTTGCCAAGTGGTCATAGTAACACATAATATATAATTGGGTCTCAGGCTAATTATTATATTACGTATTGTTTTTTGAGATCGACCTGTTTGTTGGAGAATAGTTGGCTGTTATTTTCTTTTATATTTTTATTTAAAAATAACATATCTTGTTTATTTTTATAGAAAAAGATGGCTCTAAGCGTGATAGATTTCTTAGTTGGATGGATAAACTTTAATCCGGTGTTGCGGCTTACGAAACTGAAAGATAGCCATCATCACAGTGATACCAAAACATGTTAACATTTAGTTCCTACTATGCATATTTCATTTATGCCCAAGCCATAT